TTTTCACTAAGTCATCTGAAAACCTTGAACAAGAGGATTCTTTGTAAATTTATTTTGCAAAGGGAAGCCATTAGGGAAGCTGCTCCATTTCTCTTCATCCTGTTCTCAGTAGGTGTTTGGGCATCATAAGTTACATACCAAACTGTAGTAGTGGTAGGCTTGAAAATAAACCTCTTTTCTTGGTTTTACAGGTGTCAGAGAACCTTTATTCTGTATCTCACTAAATATGATGGTCATCTATAGTAGTGGAGTTCCTATAACCCCCTACTGATTTTTTTTAATTGGAATTGAATTTGTTAACTACCAATTTTTAAACAAAATTCTGAACTTTGAGAGGTTAGCTAGTTTAGTCTAGCTGTGTGGCCAGTGGATAAACCAGGTTTGGAATGTCGATCAGTTTGAGTCTGAGTACCACTTACCCCTGCCTCTGTCCCTTAATATTGTGTTTTCATTTATTGATTGAGGGAAAATTGAATTTAGGTGAGGACATCAGTTCTGCTGGCACAAATATCCTATGTGTAATTAATTCGACTAGATTTTATTGTTGGCAAAAGCAGGTACCATACGTTCAGCAGGTAGATTGGGTGGTTTTTATCCAGGTTCACACGTTGTTAGCACACTCCTTACGTGTGGTAAAGACACTCAAAGTCACTCAGTATGAGGATGACGTCCAGGAGGAGGTGGATTTCGAGCTGAGTTGGAGGAGAGCTGAGAGATGCAATGCCAGCAGTTATTTTGGTACCTAGTATGGGGAACTTTTCTCAGCCAGATGCAGTCTTGTGATCAGAAACTCTGCCCACACAGGGCCTCATTTTACAATTAGGTTGTAAAACTAAGGGCCCATCTGTGGATTATGTATCTGGTAGCTTCTGGGCCTATGTCCTGGCTTCTGTCCAGAGTAGGTAATTCCATCCTTCTAAGCTCCAGTTGACCAAATTGCAAGAACCTGGGCACAGCCTGTGTAGAAACTGAATTAAAAAGCCTGTGAGTGTTTGGAATAGTGCTTGTACTTACTGAGTGGATAGATTAATTAATGCTACCAATGTTGTATTCTACAAACAACCAAAGGCTTGTGAGTCTTAGCGTCAGAAGTAACCTCAGTGATCTGTCTGTAAGACTCTGCAGTTCAACTAGCAGAACATTTTATGTTGAATGAGTATCTTATTTGGAATTTGCACAGATTGGTTCTACACACTCCCTGGGTGATAAATCTTCAGAGGTTGTTTCATGCTTAAGGACATTAAAATCGACAATTATGAGTCAGAAAGATCTTACCAACTTGGAATCATGGCCCAAGGTTTAAAATAATGGAGTTTAATACGAATAAATATAAACTACTTTTAATGTCTAAACCAATTGCAAGGAAGGAATTAAGGAACAATATTTGGAGCATGGAAACTTAGGGTTTTATAGGTCATATGTCTGTGTCTGAGTCAAATTTATTGAGGGTTGTGGACCAAGTGGCAGGCATCATGGAAGAGAAAAAATGAATGCTGTCTAGTCTTGAACATAATCAGGAACTTGGGAATTGTACTTGTCATACTTAAAAGGGTGTCTTTGTGGGAAGATTTTTCTCCCTGAATAAATGAGTAGATCTTTAAGGGGTATATGAGTAGAAGTTTACAAGACATGAGCTTCAGTTTAGTGTATGGAAGAATTTCAACATGAAATGGTATGAATAAGGTAGTAATGGGGAAGTGGTAGGTTGTTGTCATTTGTGATATCTAATATAGGCTCTTCAACGTCATGAATTGATGATGCCGAGTGTCTAGAGGAGATTTAGAGTATTGGATCAGGCATATCGGGTGTGATATTTTTTGACCTGGAGACTTGGAGTCTCTCAGCATATGGTAATGTTGTGTTTTTCTGAGACATGGTTCTGTCACTTGGCCCTCCATCCTGATGAACTCCTCCCTGTTCAGAATGGTTGAGAGCTGGGCATATCCACTGTTTGCTTTAAAATGTGTCTTCTTAAAGTGCCTACCATAGAGGCAGGTGGGGTGGGCATGGAGAGGAGGGAGTGGGAGGAGAGATATGGGGGACATTGTTGGTGGGAAAAGCTACAATGGGTGTTGCAACATTGTATGACTGAAACTGAATCAGGAACGCTTTGTAACTATCTCATGGAGATCCCATTAAAAAAGAAAATTAAAAAATGTCTTCTTAAAGTGAAATTATACTATTGCTTTGAGTACACTAGAACTCAAAGACTGAACTGCTTTTTCTGGTATGTGTTTGCTTTTTTTTTGTTGATTTGTTTTGTTTTGGATAAGGTGGACAGAGAGGGAAAAATGACTTGGTCACAATTCAGTTCACTGTGTCCTCTAAGTTACTCTATTAAACTGCTTTGGCATTAGCACAGAGTATAGGTGAGATCAGGGCTTCTTTAACCTTTATCACTCCTTTGTGTCTGGAAAGGTTTTATGCAACCCAGCGTGTATGAAGCATACAAATCAAATAGCTACTGTTAATAAATCATAATTTTATTTTCAAACAAATTTTTCATGATTCCTCACATTCAGTTTAAGAAACTAGGGCGTAGGTAGACAGAGAGAGTACAGCAGACTCAGTGCTTCCCTTTTCCACAGCCGACTTGATAATGAACCCCAGCACCCCATTTGGTCACTTGAGGAGCACCAGGAGTGTTACCTGAGCATTGCTGGGTGTTGCCTTAAAACCTAAAAGCAAAATCAAAACAAACAAAAACAAGTAGCAGCAGTAGCTGGGACTTAGTCGTCGTTTTCAGTCACCCATCTGTGGGCTCATGCATATCTGCAGGTGTTAAAAGATTGACAATCACTGGGCTAGCAATTTATAAGGATCAGATCCCAAAAGCAACAACAAAAAATATATGTGTGTGTGTGTGTGTGTGTGTGAGCGATAGTATATATATATATATAATATATATATTATATATATATATATATGCACAGCGGGTAGGGCGTTTGACTTGCACGCTGCTGACCTGCGTTCGATGCGTTCGATTGCTCTGTCCCTCTCGGAGAGCCTGGCAAGCTACCGAGAGTATCCCGCCCGCACAGCAGAGCCTGGTAAGCTCCCTCTGGCGTATTCTATATGCCAAAAACAGTAACAGCAAGTCTCACAATGGAGATGTTACTGGTGCCCGCTCGAGCAAATCGATGAACAACTGGAAGACAGTGCTACAGTGCTATATATATATATAAATGTATATTTTCCTCGAAGATTTGGGGAAATATATTTTTATTTCTTCTACTTTAAACTCCATCAAATGTGGTGCGCTACTCTTGGAGGATGAGTGGTGTGAGGTATGGGATGTCGCAAGGCCGTGAATGCGGCCGCACGGTCCAGGGATAGGTTTACTTGTGGGTGAGGCTGGGCACGAGTGTATGGAGAGTAGCCATGAGCATGGCGGAGGTTGAGTTCTGGAGAAGAGAACACTCTTTCTTCTGGTATACCTTATACCTTAACATTTGGCTGTTTTAAAAGTTCTGTGCAAATGTACCTGTGTTGGTAAGAGTGAGTCAATATTTTGAGTTTGAATGCTGCATCAGCATTGACAAGTGGAGAGAACTGAGTTCCTTTCATCCAGATACTGCCAAGTCAGGACACCTGTCAGGGCCAGACACTCAGAGCACCCACTGGCCATACCATGAATCGTGTGCCTGCACCTGGTATCTCTTTCTACCCATAGAAGGTGGAGGGAGGGCCAGGATGCAGTGGGGAGAGAGGAGGCAAGCAGACAGGTTGCGGGCTCTTACTCTCGGGTGACTGTCCTGGAACAGTGCTGGTGACCACCAGCATCTGCTTCCCTCCTGTACCTCTCTGCTAAGGTTGCAGCATGACAGGGCAGAGGCAGTGGGAATGGTTGTCGCATGAAACTCTCCTTGCTCAGCCCTGTTACCTCCCCTTTTATTTTTAATCAGTTCCCAGGAGCAATTGTCCTCCTCTTTCGGGGGAAGCCTTGATTAATGGTCCTCTTGCCTTTTCAACAAAGGAACATTGCTATATGAGTGTGCAGACTGCAGGGGTTACTGGATCCGATCATTTTCACATTGGTGTTTGTGCCGTTTGACATTTGTTTGGAAAGCTTATCCCTGTATGACCATAGGTCACATGCATTATTTAAGGGGAGTGGAAGCTCTGAGAAAGATTCCTCGCATTTCTGAAAGTTTCAGTGCCACGGATAAACAAATGAAAGTCATAATTTCATGATCAGCAATTTCACACGAGTAGGCCCCCAAACAGAGTATCCTGTCTGGGCGTAAAGGACTTTTGCCCAGGTGTTGGCCATTGTGGCCCTTGATACAGCAAAGGTGGAAATGGGAGACAGTTTAGCCCCAATATATGGTTATGGTCAGGAAGCTGAGAGTGGCAAGTGGCCTAGCTGTATAAAGAAAAAGTCGCACAGAGAAAAGCTGTGTAACAGCAGACATAGGTCAGCTGGCTTTGCCATTGTAGTAGAGTGGGTATTCATGGTGGCAAAACAGTCTCCCTGCTTCCTTTCTCTCTCTCTCTCTCTCTCTCTCTCTCTCTTGCAACCACCTTGCATCTTGGTAAATCAGTGTGACAACTACTGAGATGTTTGACATTTAAAATTATGTCAGTTGCCACTGTGAGGCAGACGTCTTTTGTTTTACTTTATTTTCTTTTAAACAACCTGTTCTGCTAGGGAGATTGGATCATCATCGAGCAGAAGGGTTCCTGGGAGATAGTAGGCACTTAGTAAATGTTTTTGCATGATTCATGAAGAACTTGCAACTCAGAGTGAGTTATGTTCTCAGATGAAAATTTCCCCTGGTTTTGTGAAGATTATCCAGCTTCCGCCCGCCATCATCTCTCTGTGAGTGCCTAACACAATCCATAAGGAACAACAGCCACTTGGATCTCAAAACCCGTGTTTTCGGCTTGGAGTTATTCTCCAAGCGAGCAGGCAGCTGAAGAAATCTGCAGGGAAACTAGTAAGAGCCGCCTGTTGGTGGTTACCTTGTCCTTACCAGATTCTTTCATTTCTCTCTTAGGTTTATTTTCTTGAAAAGGCTCCAGGCTTCGGCTTGGAAAATCCAACCGCCAAAATTGAGCCCAGCAGCTGGAGCGGCAGCGAGAGTCCTGCCGAAAACATGGAAAGGATGAGTGACTCTGCTGATAAGCCCATTGACAACGATGCTGAAGGGGTGTGGAGCCCCGACATTGAGCAGAGCTTTCAAGAAGCATTGGCTATCTACCCACCATGTGGGAGGAGGAAAATCATCTTATCAGACGAAGGCAAGATGTATGGTAAGTAGTGCGGAATGCGCCTTTAAAATGCTGTCACCTGCTTTTGTTGTCATGTCCTGATTGTCACTTCTCTTCTCCTAAAACCATTCATTGTCTTGGGTTGAATGCTCTTTGCATAATTTAAGTTGAGCATCCTGGTGGAGGATCATTGAGAATAAACCCCCTAATCACTCCCTGGGGGTTTCTTCTTATACAGGCTCAGCAGTATTCTACCAAAAGCCTTCAAGGTGCGGGAAGGAACACAGAGTTTCTGAGACATACACAGACAATAAGTGTGGGCATTTGCTCTTCAGAATGCACACGACGCTCTGGAGTGCTTGCACTTTCCTGGGAAAGTGGGGCTTGGCATTCCTCAAAACAATGTCTCTTGTTTTGCCGAGAAAGAACTAGCAATTTAGATGTTTATGTGTGAGATATCTTCCTTTTTTAAGAATCAGAACTTTTATTTATTAAAAAAAACAAACCAGAACAACCAAACACAACTCATACTGACTAGGTAAAACATGCACATGAATTGATCTGATCTTTAAACCAACCACCTGTTTGCTGCTTTGATGTCGGTTTGTAGTTGGTTGGCCAGACGGGGCATTAATGCTCTTCACCCCCAGGACTGCTCTCTCCGGTCCTCCCTTTAAGGTGACGTCTAGCAGGAGGCTCTGAAAGAAACTCCAAGAGTGCCCAGTTTGGTCAAGACCGGGTAACCGGAGGGCATGGGGTGCCAAAGGTAACAGCACACATCCATCCACAAGTGGGGGGCTTGCATGGTGGGTTTGCGTATTCCCTCCTTCTTCTGTAAATGCTTCCAGCTGCAGACTGTAGTTTTTGGCTGCTTACCTTTTGGGAAGCAGATGGCAGGTGGCTTGCTTGTACATTCTGCTCTTCTAATTGCGCACATTGAGTTGACAGAGTTTGCATTGTAGCCGAGTCTAAAAGAGATGCAAACAAATAACCTAAACTCAACAAGAACCGGCTCAGCAACCTACCTGAGGTTGTTAACTTATCAGGGGAGTGATTTATTTCTAAATCATTTGAAAGCTTTTCCATAATAGGGTGTTGTACCTTTAATCTCTGCCTTCTCTCTCAGGAGCCATAGGAGGCTGCGGTGCTGGCTAGCACACACAGTTACGGAGAAAGCAGATGGCCGTGCAGCTGCCGCCAGCTGTGCCCCCCACTCGCCCGCCCCCTTCGAAACTCAGATGATGTAATGGAAACAAGGAAAATTTTTGCTTTCTGTAGTGCTGTAGTCCTTCAGCCTGTTCGTGTCACACATGGGAAAGGGAGAGAGGAGCCCTGTGGTTTCAGCTTTTGTGTGGTGCTCTCCTGTGATCCTCTGTGGCCAGAGAAGCTTCTTCAGATTTAGTGAAATGATTTGTCTACTGCTGTGAGCAGAAAGTTTCAGTGTCTCTGGTTGTCTCAGTGTATCTGTTTTCTGCCTTTCCTCTGTCGAGCTAGTTGCTTGGGGGGGGGGGGGGGGTCTTTTTTTTTTTTAAACTAAAATGCTGGGCCCCTCCTTTTTCAAGCCAGAGGAAAACACTTTAATCTTTGAGCCTTCTTTGAAGCTGGCTTTAGGAGGAATAGTGAAGGTGGCTTTGGGACACTGTATCTTTGTCCAACTTGGTTTGTTTACCCAGAAGTTCTTTTAATTTAAAACGTCGCCCTAGTCTCTCACACCCTGATCTGGAATACTGACTGAGACCTCTCGTTTCTTAAATGGAATTCCCAGGAAAGACGCCAGTCATTCTTTCAGGAATGAAGTTTCAGGGATGAGAGCTTCTCTTACTAAGAGAATGAGCAACAGAGCCCAAGTACTTTTTCAAAAGACAGTTTTGGGCCCAGAGAGATAGTATAGAGCTATAGGGCACTTGCCTTGCATGTGGCCAACCCAGCATCCCATGTATGTGGTCCCCTGAGGTCCCCTAGGCATGATCGCTGACCAAAGGGACCAGGAGTAAGTCCTAAGCCCTGCTGGGCATGATCCCAAAATAAACAAAAATACATTTTGGTATTTTATTTTTCAAGTAGAAGTCATAATAGGTTGAACCATTTTTTCCCGTACTTTTATCACAAAAATAATTTTGTTTGTATGTGTTAAAATAATTGTGTAAATTCTTATTGGTTACTGGGTCTCAGAGGCAGCTCACTAAGGAAAGGAATGATGAGAGGCTTTGAGGTCTCCTGCTGGCTGTGAACGTGGGCAGTCCCATTTTGGTCTGCCACAAGGCAGCTTCCACCTGTATTTAAAGAGAAAAAAGAGGGTGAGGTGATTGTTATTCATAGGTTCTTTAAATTTTCCTATTTTTTTAAATGATGTTGTATTTTGATGATTTCTGCCTTTGTAAGGCTGATCAGCCCCTTCATAAATAGGGTACTGCTGTGGTTGCAGATCGTTAATACACAGGGGAGTCTGATTGCGATTGCTTTTTGGATGTATGTATTCTCCTGCCACTTTTTTCTTTTTGGGTCACACCCGGCAATGTATAGGGGTTCCTCCTGGCTCTGCACTCAGGAATTACCCCTGCGGTGCTTGGGGGACCATATGGGATGCTGGAAATCGAACCCGGGTTGGCTGCGTGCAAGGCAAACGCCCTACCCGCTGACTATCACTCCAGCCCCACTCTCCTGCTTCTTTTAAGCCAGCATCATATGTACCAGCTAGGTTGGAATTAGCTGGGGCAGCCACCCTGAGCATGAATTTTTCAGGATTACAAATGTAGGGCTTGGTGTCCTGGTTGGGGTGCAGAGGGTGCATTTGCTACAGTGGCCTTGAAGCTGCCCCTACCTGGAGACAGCCACCAGGAGGACGAAACAGTTCTCAGTTCCCGCTCTTCTTTGGCCAGCATGGAGGAGCTGTGCTTCAGCTGTCCTGTTGGAAATCAGCAGGACTTGGGGAGAGGGAGACTGGATTCCTTGCGCAGGAACTGCCGCAGCTCCCCAGGAGCTGTCTGTGACCTGCCTGTGACTTGGAGGGTGAGGGAATGTTGATTTGGAGGCTTCCACAGTGAGGTCCCAGCTGTGTGGGAGTTAAGTCCTGGGAGTAGGGAGAGAACAGATCCACTTTGCAATCCGTGACCCTGGGCCCGAACTAAACTGGGAGTGGAGGTTTCCTAAGGTTCTCAGCATACTTTTTCTGGAAGGATTTTGAAAAAAAAAAATAATAAGAATAATAAATTGAAAGCATTTTGGACTCCGTGGAGTAAAATCAAAGTAATTTAATGCCTTTTAGTGAAATGCTGAGTGTTTTTAACTGGGAGGGGTTCTTCCCTTATTTCTGAGTGTTTGTAGAGTGCACTGTGATGTCACTAATCCTGAGCCATTGGAGAAACAAGGTCAAGTACAATGCTGATTTATTTTGGTAATGAAATTTCATTCGTGGTTGGCAGTAGGGCAAATGTAGTCTTATAGAGGGGGAAGATGAAAAGTGCTTTTTATGATGAGGTTTGGGCCATTATAAGAGATGAATTAATCCTCACTGCTACCTGGATCTGTGGGGAAGCTGAGACATTATGAGGTTGGTCTCCTTGTGGGCAGATTACTTCTGCCTCAGCCACGCCATGTGCAGGCAGTTGTTCTGAGAGATAATTAGAGGAGGAATGAGACATCTTTGACTTTGCACCCGAGAGCTCGAAAACTCTTACTTTCTCTCTGCTTTTTTCTTTGTTTTTTTTTTTTTCTTTTTGTGTCACACCTGGTGATGCACAGGGGTTACTCCTGGCTCATGCACTCAGGAATTACTCCTGGCGGTGCTCAGGGGACCATGTGGGATGCTGAGAATCGAACCTGGGTTGGCCACGTGCAAGGCAAACTCCCTACCCGCTGTGCTATTGCTCCAGCCCCTTTCTGCTTTTATCTTTACTTGCTTTCACATGGCTGTGTCTCTTTTTCTCGTCGGTTATTGGGAGGGGATAGCAGGAGAAAAGGAAAGGAGTGAAACTCTGGATGAGCAAAATTGTCTGGAATTGAATTTCACAGGAGCAAGCTCTAGTTTAAAACAAGACACAAGAGTGAACACCAGGAGTCTCTGGGTGTATTTCTGTCGTGACTGAAAACCCCCACCTGGTGGTGTGGTCAGATATCTTCCCTCATCAAACCAGGTCAGGCATGGGAGTTAACCCTTATTGATTTGTTTGCTCTGGAGGCAGAATAATGTAGCACTTAAAATTTTGGACTTTGGAATTTATGTGAATCCTGGCCCTGCTATTTCTTGAGATAAGACTTTGTGCAAGTTGCTTCTCTGTGCCTTCATTTTTCCCCCCCAACTGCAGAAGGGATTTTAGTAGGGCCAACTTCCCGAGGTTGTTGCAAGAATTAAATGGGCCAGTTGTAATGGTGGAATCCCCTGCCACTTTCGAACAGTGTCTGGCATACAGGGAAAGCTGCATAGATGCTTTGCTGTTGAAAACAAAGAAATTCTTCTCAGCCCTGAGTTGGATTAGCGACTTTGCACACAATTTCCATCTTGTGGTTGCAAGATGACGAAGTCTTTGTGGACGAGGAAGCCGAGGCCTGGAGGGTTTTTGAAATAGCTTGTTCGTGACCAAGTATAAATGCTGTAGCAGGAAGGTTACAAATCCAGGTCTGTCTGACTCTCAAATCTGGTCTCTTGCCTTTGTGTTTTTTTTCATTACTTGTTAATTCAACAAATGAGCTTTGAGGTTGCCGGTGTGGGGAGTTCTCACTGGGGATACAGCCATCATCCACACCCACAGGGTCCCAGCCCTCACGGAGCAGTCACAAGTTCATTAGCAGGAAGCACTGACCTGAGGGCAGGGCTGTGTGCCAGAGCTTTCTGGGAAGTCTGAGGGCCCTTTGAAGATGGTCACCTTATTCTTAGCCTTTGGAAGCCTGTTCTGGGTCACGCATGTCCAGGGCATTGAGCCCAATGCTGGCAGGAAGAAGGTGTCTCAGATAACGTACCAAGAAGGATGCTAGATCACAAGGCTGGCATTGATGGTGGCCAGAAAGATGTCTGGAAGATTCTGGTGTCCTGGAATCGCCGCCTG